GGTTCAGCAAATCAACTAAGGGCAAGGCCGTGCCAAAATCAACTAAGGATGTAATGCCCTCCCATTCTAGAGGAAAACCATTGCTATCTATACAGGATATAATATATATATTTATAAATGTATGGTTTTATGTATGGTTCTAAAACAATAAACTGGAATCCAAATTTTAGAAAACGAAACCTAACAAACTGAGGTGTGTAACAACTGAGAAAGAACATGGCTTTTCCTTTGAAATGACAAAGCTTCAGCATTAAAAAGGTTAGAGAAAGGAAAATAAATGCAGACAGACATTGGAATGGGAGTCACAAACATAAAATGAACATGGCGTTTAGAGAAGTTCACAGCTGCATTTCTATAAATATTGTGCCAAAGTCTGAGTCAATAGTATTTCTTCAATAACTGTATGTTGCGTTGTTAAATGTTGCTGTTTTATACACGTTCTGGTGTTTTTAAATTGCAAAATTGTTTATGGCCAGCAGGTGGCAATGTACTTCAGTATTCTAGGGAAGATTATTTTATCACTTCATAAGGGAAAGTGTATCATATCAAAAGAATTTTATAAAACATAGTAGTCTTAATTTTAATGATGTTGAAGACTTATTCAGTGATGTCGTCTTTAAGTTCTATCTTGTGCCATAATGATGGAATAAAAAGCTAAGCAAAACAACGAGCATATTTTTTGCTCCTTTTTTTGAAGCAAGGTTTATATAGAAATTGATGTGGTTTTATTATGTTCTTGAGTATCTCTGTCAAAACATCTAAAAAGGCTTAGGAGCTTAAGGACCACTTTCAAATATAACTTAAATTTACAAGATCCAAGGTTTTACTTGAGTTTTACACTTAAAATCCATCACATAAAGAGCTTGCTTGCCCATCGTATCTCTATTTCCCAGGTAAAGTTATATGATAAGGGGGCCAGTTAGCTCAGTCAGTTGAGCGTGGCGCTAACAATGCCGAGGTCACGGGTTCGATTCCTGTTCAGTCCCCGTGTGTTGCCTGATCTAGTCGAGAGGCGGCGTCCCTGGCGGCAGGGAGGCTGGGTTAAAATGATCTCTAAGGTCCCTTCCAGCTTAGGCCATTCTATGATTCTATGATAAAAGCGGCAACTGAAGTAGAAAGGGACATGATTTGGCCTTTGACTCTTGTAGCACTCTGTCAGCCCGGCCAGCTCCTTCCATGAATACTGCATTCAGAATAAACTTCAGCTTTCTTCCTCTGATGGTTGCAAGGTTTTTCGAAATACTGTCTCGATATAGACTTGATAGGAAAAAATTGTTGCATGTAGTTAGTTGCAGCAGATGTGTGTCAATTTGTTACCAAAAAAACCCCATCCTAAAATAAAAAAATGTAGTGAGATATAAGGAAGGACAAAAACAAGGTCTCACAAGCAATTTTCACAGTTTGATCTTGTCTCAGTATTATGCCAGGCTTGATACAGATTTGCTACAGGGAATTAAAGCTCCCTAATAGTCCTCAAAACCAAGCAAAATGTAAATCCTGCTGCAAAAGATTATTCACTAGATGTCCATCTCGCCATTACAAATCCACTTCTAAACACAGAAACGCCTGCACATGTTTAACATATTGATGAAGAGTGCCTAATGATTACTCAACCTTGTAAGGAGCTTGCTTTTTCATCAGTACCTCTCTCTGTATCTGTGTGTGAATTACCATCTATGTGGAGTTTATGGGGAAATAGAGAAAAAAAACCAAGACCGCTGCTGCAGGACAACCTTGTCTGCACAACATTTCAATATACAATTGCTTGAAAGAAAAGGGATACAAATTAATTCTTAACAAAGTGATAAAGTAACAGTTGCCAAGATTGCATCATTTCTATCTGTTACTTTAATTTAAACAGGACAGCAAAATTATCACAAGAAGTTTAAGCATGTGGTAGTTTTTACTCATACCCTTTCTAGGGTGGTATTAGTGACACTATTTCTTTGGATGTATTTTTTTTTGTATTTTACTGCATACATAACCTTGAAAGGTTGTTTCTATTTTTTATGTCAGCGAATAGAGCTGTGTGGGCTATTCCATTTTAGGTGTCTGCAGTGTTTTTCTTCCCGTGACACATGCTCTTGTACAGCCGTAATATTCCTCTTCAAGGGGGAAGCCCATAGTGTGGCGATATCAAAGCCTTTTTGCTGACAGTTTCCCTTGGGAGCAGGATTCCTGTCATAGCAAAAGGGTCATGGGCCTCTGCTGCAGTGAAGAGTGTGGTAGAGAAGGTCTCCTCCAGAGGTCTTGAAGCCTCAGGGCAAACTCCTGCAGTTCAGTTTCCCACCCATCGCTTCCTATCTCACCACACTAGTTCATAGCTAGGATTGGAAAAAAAACCACAAACCTCTTTCACCATATGTGTTACCTCCTCTCAGGGATGTCTCCCAGCTGGGAGGAAGGCTGTGCTGCACTCACAGGTGAAACCAGGAGAGGTGAGGTGCAGATGCCCCAAGGATGGGGTGCCTACAGGTTGCACATTAGTCGAGGTTTTTTCCCTCTTCTGTTGCAGAAACAAAAAAATGAATCAGTGCAAGTCTATAGATATAATCTAAGTGTGGTGAGGAACATCTGAGCTAAGGGAAAAAAAAAAAGGTCCATCCTTAAAATACTAATTTAAAAAATACTGTTGTTACTGTCTTTAGAAACAAAATGAGGTTATGCAGTTGACTCACACCTTCCAAGACCATGCTCTGCTGCTGAGGGCTAAGAAGCTGCACGTTCTCCCCAGCCTCCTATCCTGTCCCTTACGCCAGCTCTTGGAGTGGTGGGAGGAATCCTGAGGCTTGTTGCTCTAGCTGAAACTTGCCGTGTACCAGGAACACATAAAATTCAGTAGCATGGGAGAAGGAACAGGGTCAGAAGTAGAGGAGAGGATGAGGGTGGGACAGGCCACCCACTTGGGCTGTAGCCTTCAGGTAGCCCAGTTGGAGCTACTCATGCAACTGCAGGGCTTGCGGCTTCCAAGTGCAGGCATGAGCCTGGCCAAGCACTTGAGACTGGCTCTGTGTTACAAACATAAGACAACCCGGCTGCTTGGGGGCTTGAAATCTCTCAAGTGCTCTGCTGTGCACATCAGGAGCCTCAACTGATACCCTAGTGTAGCGTAATGCCGCTCAGATCTTCTCTGCTCTTGAAATTAGGAAGTTCAATGGGCTGAAATTTGTAGTTGTATGGTCTGGAGTTGGGTGCTGGTTTTTTACTGGTTTTCTTGTTTCACAGGCATCAGTCGAGGCCAAAAGCCTCAGTTCCAGCCTTTCTGGAGCACCATCTTGTTCTGTGGCACTGGTCTAGCACTGGTCAGAGATTTCTTTCCTCTGAGAAACAGAGTATCTAAGCCTCACCTTGCTCCCTCTCTCTGTCTCCCTTCTCTTTGCATTCATTTCCCCAAAAAGAGAACAGTGGTTTCACTGTGTGATGCTGTAATGACACAGAACTACAAAGCAGTGGAAATGGTTCTTGACCGCATTAAAGAGTATCTTGACATCAGTAAGACCTTTTACAACATCACTGAGAATAGAGAAATACCGCTGTGTTACAGTCGCTTTAGGGGAAGGAAGGCAACTCCATGTCCAGACAGCACTGCAGAGACCACAGAGCTATTCACGGCATGTAGACACCCTGAGTGCTGGGTCATAAAATGCACCATCTCTGAGAATAGCATTCATCTGTTTTTTTCTGAAGTTTAAAGCACCACCAAAGGTGGTGTCTACATCTGGTAAAGTCACTCACAAGCTCTCTTTTTATTAAGTGGAGAGAGACAGGTATGTCACCATCCGTACAGCCTACTTGAGTCTGTCTCGGAAGGATGGTTCCTTTTGAAGGGCTGGCCACTAGAAGAACCTGCTTCTTTCCACTGCCTATATAAAGGAAGCCTGAATAGGTTGCCCAAATAGAGACAACTCTACTACAGTGCTCCAAGTCTGGCTGAATGAATCCCACCCTAAGGATCTGGTAAAATAGAAAATGGGTGGTGATCCCAACAATAGTAAAAAGGAGCATTTAATAGTGCCAACACATTATTACAGCCTGGGGAAAGGAAATCAAGGTGTTCAGCACACCTTTCCAGCTTCTAGGGAAAGCAAAACTTATTCAGCAGTCTCAGTGCTGTTGTGCTTTTCCCTGAGCTTGTGGATGAACCTGAGGCTGGCAGAGACTATGCTGCTCCTGGGAGCCTGAGAAAGTGGCTGGCAGGAGATGGCCCACTCAGCTCTTCTGGGTACTGTAAAATCCAGGGGTTTTGGAATGTGAAGGAAAGAC